GCGATCAGATTCACTATTTAGAGGTACATGAGTGAGAAAATCAATCAAATATTCCTGCTCTCTGCTGCTGAACTCTTTTTTCCAAACTTCATTTGCATTTATTTGCAATTTCTCCCCCACTTTAAATTGTCATCTGCGCTTTCCTGATACTAGCTGACTTACAGCTCATCTGCCTCAAGTTTTAGAAGCAGCAGGCCCAGTAATAACCTGCAAAGAGCAACTCCCAACAGTCCTATTCCTGGCATTCATCCCAAAAGTCACACACTGTTCACGCTGAACAGCCTGCAGCAACCGGAGACCAGTATTTTTCCTCCTCCTTTCAGCTTGTTTGGAAGGAAACGTAGATTGGGACTGTCAGGACTGCTGGTAACTGTGTTACTTCCCAGGACTGCCTGCTAACTGGCCACCGGGGACACCACAAATGGAAGAGGCGTAGGCGTTTGACAGATTTAGTTTGTGAACCTCCTGATAGTTGGAGGCAGATTGCATTTCTGGGTACCACTCACGTTGATGAGACGCAACCAACCAAACAAGCTGCACAGTCCTTCCACCACAGAAGTTACAACCTTCAGATGATGCCACAACCTGTTACCAGATTCTCTGTAATGCTGCCTGTCAAACAGAGCAGGCTTCCCCAGATTTGTCCACTCAGCACTGAATCTAAGTCATGCTTAATGCCACTTGCAGGTACATGAACAGATCTTTCGTGACAGCTCTCATTCTTTGCCCCACTAGTAAGCACGCAGGCAGGAACCAAAAAGTCTCCCCAGACTGCGTGCCTGTGCTCATTCATAGTATTAAATGAGACCAAAAAAGGAGAATGTGCACTTTAGATGGTATTTCAGGTTACCATGAAGAGAACTTGTGATTTGATTTATGCTTGGTGATGGCAGAGCTTGAAACCATGCATCTCTCAAAAGTATCCCCCTTTCAATAAGCACTGCTGAGTGCACTCTTGTGAACAGAACTGGCAGGTACCTCACCTGTTTTTGGAAATAAAACTATTTGGACTCATCCAGCTGGTAAAGTATTTCAAATAAAAATATGTAAAATACCACTTAGAAAGCAACACTGCAGAGCAGCAGTGGTCACCAGCTTAAACTTTAAGCTGTTTACTCAAAAACTGAACCCTGGTCCAGCGGTTTGAGAGAAGGTCCATGCAGAAGTTATATATCCTTTCTTTCTATCACTCTGGTATCTCCACCATTTCCTAAAACCTGTGCATCACTGCACGCGTTTGTGTTTTCCTTCAGATTCCACATAGGCTCCAGAGTCTCAAATAAAAGCCTGAGCCACTGGGTTTTGTGCTGTCTCCACCTCACTCCCAACCATTGCAAATTTCCTTTGCAAGCAACCGGGGACTAGAAAAATGACATGTATCTTTCTCAGAGGGGCAATGAAAGAGACCACCTCTTTCCTAGTGTGGTGGCTGCCAAGAAAGCACTTCTAAACACAGACAACTGTTAAAAAAACAACACATATTTCTGGCCTAAGCAGCCAGTCTAGCTGACTGGAGAAATTAATACACCGCGGACCACCTGATTAGCTCACAGCTTTAGCCTGCAGCCTTTTAACAATGCTCTGATGGAGAGGAACGTCCTACGCCCTTAAACAGTATTTCATTTTCTTTCTCCCCTTTGGCTTGGTCTGCAACATCATTCACATTTATTCAAAGAAGTCAAATAATCAACCCTATACCATATGCTATATTGCTGTACTTGTTCCAGAGGCAACAAACTTTCCAGTGCAACGATCAATCTGACAACTTGAATGACATCTTAGAAGAGCATGCAGGATCCTTATGAGCACGGCCATAGCAGTACACAAAAAGGTCCTGTTTATTTTCCTACTGAGACTCGGGTATCTGAAGAAAGACTTTCATGTCTATTGGCTAAAATTGGCATGGCAAAGAAACACAATGTGTCGCGCCGATCCCAGAAGCAAAGAAACCATACTGGAAGATGTGGAAATTACTTAAAGCTGGCACAGAGGTACGACAGTGGTTCTGGAAATCCTCAGGGACACACAGAGGCGCATCACCAGGAGCAATGTCACATTTAGGACTGGGTGGTGGGACTTGGTTCTTAACAGCCTCAGTGCTGACAGTTATAGAAATGCAATTTCAAGAACAACAGGTTGTCTGGGGTCAATGCCTTTCTCCCTTCCCTTAGGACTAAGTGAAGGGACTTCAACCACCGGTAGCTGGTTGGCATCAAGGAACCAAGGCAGAAATTTAAGAACAGGCCTAAGTCTCTAGGCAGCAGTTCCCTCAAAGGATTGTTTGTATGTGTAGTGTCTTTCCAGGAGCCCCAAGCACTGGTCCTGGCTTAGTTATTGAGCTTTCAATAACCTTCTGCCCCGTTTTCTCTTGCACCCTCCTGAAGCCAAGACAGTGTCCTTGCCTGCCACGTCCCACTGGGAGTTTACCAACAGAATGACATCTCCTGTTGGCTGCCCCAACAAATATACAACACTTAAAAGGCATCATAGGTCTGTGGACACGATGGTTAGATACCACTTCCAGGTAGTCCCATATCTTCAGGCCGGTCCTGCATCTACAGGCCGGTCAGTCTCACCTCTGTGCCCAGCAAGATCATGGAGCAGATCCTCCTAGAAACTCTGCTAAGTCACACGGAAAATAAGGAGGTGATCAGTGACAGCCAACACGGCTTCACTAAGCGCAAATCATGCCTGACAAATTTGGTGGCCTTCTATGACAGCACTACAGCGTTGGTGGATAAGGGGAAAGCAACGGATGTCATCTACCTGGACTTGTGCAAAGCATTTGACACCATTCCGCATGACATCCCGGTCTCTAAATTGGAGAGATGCAGATTCGATGGATGGACCACTCAAGTGGATAAGGAACTGGCTGGATGGCCACACTCAAAGAGTTGCTGTCAATGGCTCAATGTCCAAGTGGCAAGCAGTGACAAGTGGTGTTCCTCAGGGGTCGATACTGGGACCAGTACCATTTAATATCTTTGTGAGCAACATGGACAGCAGGAACGACCGCACCCTTAGCAAGTTTGCTGATGACACCAAGCTGTGTAGCACAGATGACATGCTGGAGGGAAGGGACACCATCCAGAGGGACCTGGACAGGCTGGAGAGGTGGGCCTGTCATGAAATTCAACAAGGCCAAGTCCAAGGTCCTGCACATGGGCCAGGGCAATCCCATGCACATATAGTCTGGGCAGAGAACGGATTGAGAGCAGCCCTGAGGAGGAGGACTTGGGGTGATGGTTGATGAGAAACTCAACATGACCAAGCAATGTGCGATTGCAGCCCAGAAGGCCAACCATATCCTAGGCTGCATCAAAAGAAGTGTGGCCAGCAGGTCAAGGGAGGTGATTCTGCCCCTCTACTCCACTCTTGTGAGACCCCGCCTGGAGTACTGCATCCAGCTCTGGGGCCCCCAACATAAGAAGGACGTGGACCTGTTGGAGCGAGTCCAGAGGAGGGCCACAAAGATGATCAGAGGGTTGGAGCACCTCTGCTATGAGGAGAGGCTGAGAGTTGTGGTTGTTCAGCCTGGAGGAGAAGACTCTGGGGAGACCTTATAGCAGCCTTTCAGTACCTAAAAGTGGCCTGGATGGGGACTTTTTACAAGGGCATGTAGTGATAGGACGAGGGGTACTGGTTTTAAACCTGAAGAGGGTAGGTTTAGAATAGGTAGCAAGAAAAAAGCTTAGCTATGAGGGTGGTGAAAGACTGGAACAGGTTGCACAAGGAAGCTGTGGGTGCCCCACCCCTGGTAGTGTTCAAGTGTTGGATGGGGCTTTGAGCAACCTGGTCTAGTGGGAGGTGTCCCTGCCCATGGCAGGGGGTTGAAACTAGATGATCTTTAAGGTCCCTTCCAACCTAAACCATTCTAAGATTCTATGATCCTCCTCTCTCTAATGCCCAGTTTAACTGACGCTGCAAGAACAAGTGAAGTGATTCTTGTTTTCATGAATCTTTTCACTTTACCAGCTGAGGGTCTTTTGGGAGGTCCTTAGGTTGGATCTCCACAAGCAGACAGAAACAAATGCATTGACTTCCATGTTGAGGGTAAGGGCAGAAGAAAATGCATGAGCACTTTTCTGGCACTACATGCTGCACGGCAGAGCTAAGAGAAGAACGCAAGAACCCCAACAGCTCCCTGGCCTATCCTCCACACATGAGCCCACGCTGTTTCCTACCTACACACAAAAGAAGAACAGATCATTTAAAACACAGTGTGACCTTCAGAGAAGTGGAAGCTAGAGGCGTTCTCTGAGTTAATTCCTGTTTGAGCAGCAGTGCATCCTTCAGGAAAACAGAGCATACTGGTTTCAATGTTTCTAGCAGGGTACATAACCCTTGTTACTCTCACGTCAGTCTGAAAAAATGCCCCATTTCTCATCTGAATGGAACTTACAACCTTTTAACAGTCGTTGCTGTTCCCAATTTTTTAGCAACCTTTTTTAGCTGCTGATAGCAACACCGAGAGTGTTCCTGTAAAAAAAAAGTTGCAGCAATACCAAATATAAAGTTAATATATATTCCCCATTTCTACTAAAGATTTCTTTTTGTACCCATAAGCATTTCACTAGCCACAGAATCATGTTAGAAAACAGTGTTCAAGTGATAACACATGATGAGCCTCATACTCTTTCAGAGGCACTCTTCCTCCAAAACAAGAGTCCTTCACCTCTGGCGTGAATGTTATTTATTAGGTGGGTAACGTAACACTACACGTTTGGCTCTATTAGAATGCAAATAGCTTACCTGCCCTTGGTTTACCAAGTACTTCTGGTCTGCCTGTATCAGCGAGCTGTTCCTTTCACAATTGACAAGTCTGATCTCCCTTCCGTACTCACACAGTTTGCAGCCTTTGTTAGAAGTAGGTTTTGTTTCTTTTCAACCCATCAATAAGGCTAAGTAAAGCAAGGCCAAGAACTAATTGCTGGAAGATCCTGATGGAAATACACTCAATTAAGCACCATTTAAAATTAAATTGAGACCTATGAGTTAGCCACATTTTAATCCATTTAATGTGTGCCATGTTGATTTTTGTATTGTTTTAGTTTTCAGTCAAAATGTTATGCAGTACCAGTCAAATGCCTTACACAGTCTTAAGTATATATGACAACAATATTACCTGTGTCAACCAAGCCTGTCACTTCAAACAAACATACCAAGTTTAAAGATTTATACTTATCTGCTCTGAATTCACATATCCACTGCAAAAGTAACAAACACTGGCCAGGCTCCTTACAGAGGAAGGCACACCATTCAGCTTAAATGGACTCTTTTTTAATTCACTCATTTAGAGGCAATTGTCATTATTTTTCTGGGGGTGGAGAAGGGAAACGCCAATGCACCACATTGTTTTCACTAGCCTGGAAGAGAAAACACTTATATATATATAGATATATAGATATATAGATATGTATATATATACACACATATGCATGTGTGTATATATATACGTGTGTGTGTATATATGTATATATACACACTAGTGTATATATACACAGAATATACATATATGAATATACAGAATATATGCACACACACTTTTCTCAGATTTGTTTACAAAATATGTAGCATTTTTATACCATCCAATAAGAGGTACATGATTTTAAACAAATCTTATAGAAATGACATGTTATTGGAAATTTACACGTAAAAAAATCCAGCACAAAAAAATCCAAAAGCTAAAACAAGATTTTGCTACTAATCAGTGCTTCTATCACCCTTCAAGAAAAGAGAAACACAGTTATTTATATGTGATGTAAAGGCAACATTGAGGGGTTTTTTTGCTTTGTTTAAATTAACCACCAAATTTAACCCCCTAAAATTACAAAGAATCGAAGTCCATTTACAGATCAAGTGCAGTAAACTAAATGTTCCTTCAGCACAAAGCAGCACTAGAGAAAATAACCGGGAGAGGGAAGGTAGAGGCCAACTGGTTTAGCTAGGGAGGCAGCAGGTGGCCTCTGCAGTGGCCACACAGGTCAGTCTCCATCCTGAAGCACAAACAGAACTGAAGACTGTATTTAAATAATGGTCACACAGAGCTGATGTTCAGGCCTTTGCCTAGCTTCTTTCAGCAGTTTGACAAGTGATTTATATTATTTCTATTATTCTGTATCCAATGGGCTGGTTTTGCTTTTGCAGTGGCTTGTCACTGAGAGGAGTCATAAGGAGGACCTTGCAGACAGTTCTGCCACTAACATTTACCACAGGTACACGACGCTGTGGTTGTCATTTGCCATTTTGAAATGTTTACACTGGACAAATGTGTGTTCCAAGCGTCCAAAATGGCTTGAAAGAACATAGCCCGATGCAGGGGGGAGCGGACGGCCTGGAGAATCCATTGCATTTACAGAAATGGAACTGCCACTTTCAATCACGTGGCATCTCCCCAGTTGGGTGAAGAGTTTGGTGTCAATGTCAGCTGAAGTCAGTGAGGAGTGGCTGGCCTTTGCATCAGATGTCTGCGATCCAAGCAGGTTGCGGAGCCAAGAACATGCTGCTAGCAGAAGGGCAGTCTACAGCTGCAGATGACAGCTGTCATGCAGTCAGCGATGTCTTATAGATGTCACCTGTAGGAACCATGCGTTCCATGCTAATTCACCTGAAGTCCCGTAAACAGCAAAAGGGAAAAATGAAATGAAAGGGCCGGGCGGATCCATGTGTAATATTACTATCCTTTGAATGTAGTGTCATTTTAGTTGTTAAATACGGGGCTTGACCAGGAGGACTTTATTTTATCAGGTGAGCTGGAGAGGAAGCTCTTGTCTTGTGAAAATGAAAAGGAGATCTAACGCTCCTTGTGCTAAGTTTTACAAATTAAGATTTCTGTATTCAGAAGGTAATTTTTCAGAAGATAAATCTGTTCAAGTCACGCTGCGTAAAAATGTAAAGAGGCAGACAGGAACTTTTCAGCCGTAACTATAATGCCGAGGACCAGACTCTGGAGCATGAAGTCAGAAAGGGCTTGACTTCTAAGGAAGGCCCAGGTGGACCATACTGTGCTGGCAAGCAGAAGTGGGGGCAGTTTCTCCATTCTAGAAGCTGGTTTGGAAAGTCATTTCTGGGGAGGTGGTAAGAGTGACCTATTCACAGGCTCTTTTTTTGCGGATGGAGAGGAAAGACTTGGGAAGGTATACAAATCTCCACAGTGGTCTGCAATCCAGCTTGGGAGCTCAGTGTTGAAAAGGGATGGGGCCAGATGTGTTCAGTGTTCTTAAGAACCAGAAAACATGTCCATTTGCAGCCTGTTGTTGCAGTGGATAGAGAACTTACTCCATTCTTTGTAACATGTTCTATATGCCAATAACCCCAGCTGGCACATACAGCAAAGTAGATACATTGCATGTGAAGATTTAACGCATCTCACACAGCCATCCAAAGAGGCATCCGGGGAAAATTATGGGGAATGAATTCAGCTACGTTCTCAGAAAGTCCGAATGTCTCCCTGGACTGCAGGCACACACTGCAGCAAATACAAGAGAAAGGCAGCCTTATCTCGGATGCCAGGAGTGTGGGGGGTATGGAGGAGGGATCATTTTCCTGTAATAGGAGCAGGAAATATCTCAACGTATAGAAAGGTGCCTCAACTCCACGAAGATGACAGTGGAGAGGTTCAGAATCTAGAGGAGAAGGGTGATTCTGGCGACCCCTTGCCAAGGAGGGAGCATCCTGCCACGGAGAGCCAAAAGTTTTCCAGACGTATGTAAGAGCATGTGCACAAGGCAAGCGAATGAGCGCAAACAGGGTTATGGAAAACATTGAGAGAATCACTCCACGGGTGGCTTGTGGCTCGACAACAGGATTGGCTAGGTAGAGGAGCACACAGCACAGGAGCACCTCAGAGCTGGAAGCCTTCCATGGGAGCCTCACACTGCTGGAAGATGTACTGTTGCTGGTTGAGATCCACCTGTGGGGCAATGCTGCTGTCTTCATCCTCTGTTCCAAAGTAGTGCTCAATCAGATCAAAGGCCTTCTGATAAATCTCTTGATTCTCATGGCTCTGCAGGAACTCAATCTTGTCCAGGCCTGCAGAGAAAAGAGGTACGTGAAAGTTACAGCTTGGTGAAAGCACATGACCATGATAATTTAAGTCTGTTGGGAACATCACATTCCATGACAATTATCTCCCATCTTCAGCAAGAATAGGTCCCTCTAAGGAGACCCTTACCTGACTTGTACTCTCCACAACCAAGGGAAAACAAGTTGAACTACAGAGTTCCCCATAACTGCGTGATGCATTTCATACTTTGCCTCTACATTTTCACTCAAAAAATGAAATCAACAGGTTTGAACGTATAAAGAACAAGGCCTCAAAGACTTTTTCTGAAGGGACTTTTAGGACTGTGTTTCCTGAAAATGTGTTCACAGGGCTTTGTTTACAAAGACCACGGCTACAGAATCACATAACCGCAAGTTGGAAGAGACTTCTGATAATCATCTAGCCAACCTGCAGCCCAGCCCAGCCCAGTACTACTACCAACACCAGATTAGGCCAGCTGTGTCAAGCCAAGTCTTCAAAACTTTCAACGATAGAGACTCCATTACCTATTCTGTATCACATGTATATACAATGCAGTTAAACTCATGCAACCAGTTTTGGGGCAGACATTAAGCAGGTGGGCAAACTCAGGCCTTGGGAGTCAGAAACAAATGAAAATAATACAGCAACCTAAACTATCTTTGATACCTAGGAATGATGCTATAATGAAATCCAAGTCTTAATCACTCCAGTAAATCTCTGATATTAGGAGTTGTAGTGGCTTTCTTGTCTGCTCTTTTTACTGTGCATGAAGACTAGAGGAAATAATTCTGTGATAGTCTCTATATAGGCATTTCTGCAACAGTGACATGAAAAGGGAAGTTAAAACCTAGACGCAAGCAAGAAAAAAATCCTATTCTGATATAACTCTTCCCTGGAAGTCAAGGTAACCATGAAACGAACCATGGTTCAAGAAACCATGTTCAGTGATACTATCCTCTTCTATACTGCTCTTGATAACCCATTTTTATTTTTCTTAGTAAGTACTTGCCAATTGACAAGGAAACTAACCTTAAGAGCAGGAGTACCTCAGAACTGGGGGTAAAATCATGCTGGTACATGCTAGAACTTCAGCACTGCAAAGGCAAACAAGGAAGTTGCTACTGCTGCCGTAATCCTACAGGGCAGCAGAGAGGGAAGGGAAAGGTTTGAAACCTGAGCGACAGAGCAGTGTGCCTGAACTTTTATCTGCTGTGGAGGGAAGATACTGAGGCTGAATGACACCCAGAAGGCTCCCTCAGGGTCAAAAGAAATTAAGAAATGAAGATCTGCACACACTGTCTCCAGTCTACATGCAGATAGATAATCAGAAAGACAGAGTACATTGGTAAATGGAGACTTATCAAAGAACAGTTAATATTCAAATAGCAACGAGGAAATTAATAGAATTGGGTCTACTGAAACTCTAATGGGTTCGTGATCATTGCTTTAACCCCTGACTTCCACGGATGTTTTGCTCATACCATACGCTTCTTCAATAAGAGCGCAGTACGGATTAATGCCAGTGCCACTGCGTTTGGATTCCTGCTCTCCAAGCCTCAGGATGTTCTCCAGCCCATTTAGTGCTACTTGCACAATCTTTGAGTCCATTACTGTAAGGAGGTCGCAGAGTGGTTTGATGCATCCCAGTTCTACTAGATACCTGAAAAACACCACACGGAACCCAGTAAATTGCCAGCAAAATTATAATTGCTGTAATTATAATTGGTGTAGCCATTTAAGCACTTAGCACGAAGGTCTAAGAAACAAAACAATCAGATATCAACTCAACTGGAGAAATTATAGACATCTATTAGTATCTAGTCAATTCTGCTAAAACAATGAAAATAACTTTAGAATACCTTCTCTGTCTCTCTCTCTCGTTATGTAGATATGAAATAATAATCTAATTTTGTAACTTAAATTTATAGCTCTGTAACTATAATTTAAAGATTTTCCTATTAATATCAACTACATTGATTTAATATATTTATAATTTTAGGGGCTTATTTTATAGAAAATTGCATATAAGCATAATGTACTGGTATAAGTTAAACAGGAAAAATAATGCACACGATGCCCTTGTCTGAGGGGCTGAGCTATTCCTATCCAGACTGCTCATGCACTTTGTTACACTCTACAATGACCACTAAGAAATTATTTTAAAAGTTGCACTTAGTTTTTTCACATCAGAAAAATGGTTCAGTTAATTAAATAAGTAATACAGCTGAAATACTTATGTGATTTCTCCCTAGAGGAATGAACGGCTCATTCACAACCTAATACAAAGACATGGTCTCTCTGGAAACAACACTGGTAGCATACAGAAAGGTTTTCCAGTTTCTAGGTTATTAGTCTGACTTCTTGCACAAACACTAATTAACTCAATTGCATTGAAAGATCTGAACTATTTCATACTTGATCTGTTCAGCAGAGCCTCCAGATGTTGCATTCGTGATTGCCCAAGCAGCTTCCTTCCTTGTCCGAAACTCGGCCGTTTGCAAAATATTTATAAGAGCTGGAAAGATATGGGCATCTATGACTGTCTGCAAAAAGAAATGATGTGTTAGGGTTAGAATAAAAATTAGAAATAACTTCCTCATCCTGAGCTAGTTAATGTCTATGCTCAGCACAACACATTAAACAATGAAATATTACTTATCAAGGGGCAAAAAATCAGTTTTTAGCTTTACATTGACACCCCTAGTTATTGACGAGGTCTGTGCTTATCCCAAAAGAATTCAAAACATATTCAGACTGGTGACTGCCATATCTAATGCGTTACTTAATCATACTTTGCCAGCAAAAGAATGCCATACTTCCCTTATTTTTCCAGGTAGTGAACCATTCAGCTATTAAGTCAGTAAACCACTAAGTCATTAAGATCCCCTAAACAGAGAAAAAAAACTACATAAGCCTGTACATTTCCACTAGGTCAGACAACAGAGCAAAGAGAGAATGTACTGTAAGAACTCCTCAAAACAAGCAAGCACCAATATATTCTTTGCTGGTGAAAGGACAAAGCAACTGACGGTTTGGTAGGATGGTTAACTGCTTAGCTCACCAAACTGATGTCAGTCAAATGAGTATTTAGCAGCAACTCAAAGTTTCTAGTAACTTCCTCTGGAAAGAGCCTTTTGCAATAAGACACAAATAAAACCAGTTTAGTTACACACATATGACAAGGATCTGAAACACTTTCATAAGGATCATTCAAAGAAGCAAGAGCTTAGCATTACACTTTCAAACTACCGTTTTACAAACGTAAGTCATCACAGAACAGATAAAGGCAAATTCAAAGAAAGCCAAAGACATCCTTTTCAAGAAACTCCACAGGAGAAAACTAACAGATTACATACAGCAAAAAGCTCTGGTCAATTCATGGTGTGGATTGTTACCAAGTGAAAAAAACCCAACTGTTTGATATTTCTTCCTGTTTGTCTGGGCATCTGCACTGCATCTACTTTGTAAGTCCATACCGCGTGTCCGTTGTAGCAATGAACGCTTCCCATGAACGCTGTCTCCTTTACCACAGAATCTGCACTTCTAGTATAGCAATCCGAGGCGCTCAAAGAAAACCACTGAGATTTCAATCATGCCATGTTATATTAGATTTGCACCTTGCAAAGAATATTTGGCAAAAAGTCCTTAACTGAAAATTTTGAACATAAATGCTGGTAGTGGCAGGTTATAAATAGGAGCCATTGATTAAAAAAAAAAAAAAAGACAAAAGAAAGTATTTTCAAAAAACAGAATGCATTTTCCCCCCCAACATATTTTACTGGGAAATAACACTTAATTTAAAAAAAAATACAAAAGCAACAGACTATAAGGGTACATAGAACACGAGAGCATCCACTCCATTACGGTTATGAGATCAAGGACCTTTTTAGTTCAAAGGGAGATATAGATAACAGGAAAGTAATAAATAAAACACACGGTGACACAAACATGATAGACAAGGAATGAGAGACAATCACAAAGGAAAGGCTCCAGTTGCTAATTAATGGACAATTAAGAACCTACAAGCACAGCTTTGCAGACAACTAGCCTGGACTTTATAACTGGTAAGACAGGGACAAGTGGGAGTGTGCAAAACTTAATAATGAATCTTAACTATCTTAACCATGTAACCTCCCTCTCTAGACCGCGCGAATGCTTTAAGGATTAGCTGCTAGCAACTGAGATCAGCATGATGGGATTTGGACCACAAACTGGATCAGACCTCAGAAGAAACTCCTGTGTCTGCGGGACCAGCAGCTGGAGTGGTTAGGGGTCTCAGCATCAGTAGCTGGAGGGGACATGGACTGCAGAGGATGTTTTTGGGGTGCCCAGAAAACGTGAATTCAGGGCCAGCAACTGTCAGACCTTGGCGAAAGGGCACCTGCAACTGGAGCAGGTGAGGGTCCCAGCATCAGCCACTGGGGCAGGATCACAGTCCATAGGGCCCGTGTGCCTGGGTGCCAGCTACTAGGGGGACCGGGGTGAAGTTGAGCGAGGGTCTCAGCCCCTCAGCTGGAGTGGGACTGCAGGTCAGGGGACACACGTACCTGGGCACCAGCTCTGTGGGATAGGAGGATTTACATTATGCCCAAATGTGGTGGTGGGAGTAACGGATCACGGTGTACGTAATTTGCTGGCAAACCGGACTAGGTGGCACACAGGAGGCACAGGATCCAGGCATGGACAGACAGCTCATGCTCAAGGGGTCTGCAAGTGTGGGGATGCTCGAGATGAACGTGTGCATCTGTTTGCTAGTGACAATCCAGCTGAACCAGCCAGCAAGTAGCAGCCAAGTACAGAGAGCTAAGAGAGCTCAGGATCCAGCCACGGAGAGCAGATGTGCCGAGAGACCACACTGATATTCAAGAGATCTGTCAGTGTGGTACGTGCTTGTAGATCTACAGAGCGAGGACATGCGTGTTTTCACTAATGAACTTCAGTCCTGATGAAGTGGAGAGGAGAAAGGGCACTTGGCAGTCTACAATTAGATTTTATGTGAGTCCAGGAAGTGCTATACGAGGGTGTTGTTGAGATGGAAGCCCTTACAAGAACAGTGTGTTAAGGGACGCTAATTATTTTCTACCAAAAGAGTTCAATATAGATCTAGGATAAGATACATGAAGGCATTACTATTTTACTATTCTAGCAAAGAACAAGTCAAAATCTCATATATCACTTCTTAAATCCTCTCCCCAAAAGAAAACTTTTATATGAGATTTATTTCCTTAGAAACTGTCTTCTTTAAACCAACTTCTTTAGTAAGTACTAAAATCAGACTATGTTACACGATAGCATGCAGCTAAGTCAGCACATCTTCACTGACAGGCAGAACATACTTTGAGCTTTTTTAATGCGCCCCCCCCCCAAGTTACCATAAAATGTCTCAATTTAAACTTGCAAAATAGTAGGAGAATTCCAGAACAAAGGGAACTAGCAATGGGAGGGCAGCAAGTGGGAGAACCACAAAAGATTGTTATTGTTTTCCTTGTGGCTCACTCAATTTTGAACTCTGCTTCAATGCAAAGACTGTTGACCAAATTTACTCTTCTCAGAGCAGAGAAATGTGCTTTTGAACCTTTTCAGAATGAAATTAATCCAGACCTCACATCTCGAGTGAGTGCTCTTATTTCTAATTCTACTTATTTATATTTATTTCTATTTCATATTCTATTGTATGAAAGGCTATGGGCACTGTGTTTACTTTCTGCCCTACAGTGAAGTTGGCTATCTTTACCCAAGCAGAACAGGTTAAAACACCACAATGAATTACAGCCTCTCATGAGGCACTTCACTGAAAGAGACTGGCTCGAGAGAGCAGCAGATTACCAGTCACTATATTTTTATGTTTTCTACTGCTTAACGTGCAATGTAAGTGTTTTCACTACCTCACCCTAGCATGAGTCCTAAAGGTACTCAATTGTTCCTCTGTAGTACAGCAAAGTTTTTCAACTAGCAGTCTGTTGCTTTTTTCTTGAAGAAAAGCAAACCTCAGGCAGAACAAACCCCTAGAGGATTGTGGCAGAATGAGGTACCTGAAACTTCTGAGGACTTAAAAAGTGTTAATCCAAATTACTTTACTTTTTTAGCATTACTATACTGTGTGTGCCTGACATGTGGAAGTGTGTTGAAGACTAAAATAATGTAATGCATATAAAAATGCTCAAGGTAAGCGTAGCTTTCAAGCAAGATGAACACAGTTAAGGATTTCAGTTCAACAAGAACTTTGTGAAAGAAAAAGGAAATGAAAAAGAAAATCAAGTTGCAAATTAAGGACTGATGTACAAACTACTGCAGATCTCACTCTTTGTCACCCGTTCAAATGTTCCACTGTTCCTTGAAAAATGAAAAGTGCCTTAGTCATTCATGAAAATAGTGGGCAACTGCCTCATACATGCCATAAAGTAAAGGATGTTTAAACATTCTTTCTGAGCTGCGGATGCGCTGTAATGCTTACGTTTATCTGTGCCCTCTAAATGTGACAAGAATTTTTCAAGGACTGTAACAGCAGGCCAACAGGGTAACCAAAACTTAAAAAACCCACTCCAAAACTCGTATCGTTTTTAGCAGTTTTATGTGGACTTTTCCCATCCAAATCACTTTTGTAATAGAACAATACATACTAACATCCTGCTTCCAACAGCAACCAACAGCAGATGCACAGGAAAGTGTAAACTGTAGTCATGTTTACTTTTCTTTTTCTCCTTTTTAAGTGTTCAGAGTTACAGCAATGAGTTCCAGTTTGATTACACCTGTATGAGAAGATAGGTGCTTGTTTGTCCTAAATGCAGCACCTAGTAATTTCTCTGATGCCTCTTCCTTCAAGGACCTTGCTCAAAACACAAAGAACTATCATTCCTCATTCACCTTCTCAGATGCCACCTGTGTTTCTACAGCATTCCGCCACATCTCCCTTCACTTGTCTCACAGTCTAGGTAGTTGTTCCTCATATGGGATCCTGGTGATATTTTTATCATTACCACTCACTCCTACCATATCCTCTGAAGATGGATCTACATACAGGGCAACATTGAATATTTATACTAGAACAAGAATAAGGATTTCCCCCCCCCTTTTTCTTTTTATCGCTTTCCTGATGATTTCTAATTTCACGTTGCTTTTAGGCTGCTACTACTATGCACTGAGGTGGTATCTTCAAAATACATTAGAAATCTCTTTTCTGCATAATAGGTAATGCAGAGCCCATCCTTTAATACATTAAACTAACACAGCTTTTTGCCCAAGTGCATCCATCATCCATTTGCATTTGTTGGAACTCTATTGCATCTTGACTTGTAACTACAAGTCTTTCAGAAAACTGAAATTGAATTTTAATTGAAATCTGAGCTTTCAGATTTAATTTGAAATTTAACTGAATTGTAATGGTTAGTCCTTCAGCAAATCTGGCCCTCACTTTTGAAGTGTCAACTTTTGGATTTTTTGGTGTTGTTTGGTTTTGGTTTTTGGTTTTGGTTTTTTTTGTGTTTTTTTTTTTTTTTTTAAATAGATGGTATCCTGGTGCTGTGGCACTCCAAGAGGGTTGCCT